GGCAGAGGTTGCAGTGAGCTGAGACCACACCATTGCACTCCAGCCTGGATGACAGAGAGAGACGACATCTCAAAAATTAAATAAATAAATAAATAAACAAATAAATAAACTTTTAAGAATCACCAATAGAAATCTGTCTTTCCCTCCATCTTTTTTTTGTTTCTTTTTTGAGACAGAGTGTTGCTCAGTCGCCCAGGCTGGAGTGCAATGGCGCAATCTTGGCTCACTGCAACCTCCGCCTCCTGGGTTCAAGCAATTCTCCTGCCTCAGCCTCCTGAGTAGCTAGGAGTACAGGTACATGCCACCATGCCTGGCTAATTTTTGTATTTTTAGTAGAGACGGGTTTTCACTATGTTGGTCAGGCTGGTCTCAAACTCCTGACCTCGTGATCCACCCGCCTTGGCCTCCCAAAGTGCTGGAATTACAGGCGTGAGCCACTGTGCCCGGCCTTTCCCTCCATCTTGATTGCAGTGGTGATTACACACGTAGACATTCATCAGAACTCATCAAAGTATACACTTAAGACTGTGCATTTTATTACATGTAAGCAACACCTCAATCTGAAAAGTATCAGGGCAAAACCACACGCTGCAGAGGGGCAGGGCTCCTCCAGCAGTTACTTACTTCCCTTGAAACAGCAGCTCAAACATGGAGTAGTCTTCTGTGACTAAACTTCTTTTCCCTCCTCCTAACTTCCAGGAAGATCCTTGTTCTGAATAGGATTTGAGGTAATTTAACTGCTCTCAATACGGAATTTTAAAGTTGGTGAAGAAGTCGACGGAAGGGGAAGTCACAGTAGGAAAATCAAGGTACTATCGGGATGAAGTCAGCACGCAGAGCAAGCCCAGCAAGGCCCAGGCACCAGAAGGCCTTAGTCCCTGCCCACCTGAGTCCCTGCCCACCTTGCCCAGGCCAGCCAGACAACACGGACTGCCCTAGAAGGTCACCTCAGGGAGATGGGGGTGGTCTCTCACTGCTGGATATTGATGAGCCAGGAGGGCTAAGCCTTCACTATCCTCCCTAACAGACATTTGGGGTGCAGAAATGCTGATCCCTGAATAGAGTTGGGATTCAGGGTCCTTGGGAACACTGGGCACCTGGTGGGTGGGTGGAGGGGCAGGACTGGCTGCAGCTATGTTCCCTTAGAAACAGACTGGTGGGATTAACGAACTAAATAAATGAACCAAGGTGCTTTGCCCCCCCCAAAAAGTGAGTTTTGTTCTGCATGGAGCGACTGCCTTTGGGAAGCCACCAAGGCCACCTGCCAACAGGCAAAAGCTGTGCTGCTGTCTGCCTGGCTGCCTCCAGCCCTCCCAGTCCTGCAAGCTCATGGCCAGGACGATAAGGATGACAGGGGGTAACACCATGGTCCTCGCTGCCCTTCCTGGGGCAGGAGGGCCCAGAAGGCTGATAAGCCAAACCCAGGGCCGCCCTCGGCTGCTTATCTGCCCAGCACCTTTCCTCTAGGTCCTCTCCTCCCACCAGTGTGGGGGTCGGGAAGGGGGTTACAAGGGGAAGGGGTTGTAGGGGGAGGGGGTCGCAGGGGGAGGGGGTTGCAGGGGAAAGGGGTTGCAGGGGGAGGGGGTTGCAGGGGGAAGTTCCTGAGCCACACATCCCTGGAGACTCAGTGGGAGTAGCTGTACCGGGAATCAGGCACCATTCTGCCATAAGGCTGCGTGAGAGCAACTGGCCAGCTTCCTCTGACTTCCCTGTCCCCTCACCCAAATGGATGACATCAGGAGCTAATGGCCCAGGCTGCCCTCCTGCTGCGGTGGCCATAATTCTTGCGGCAGGCCCGCCCTGCACTCCGCGGGCCAGCCTGGGTGCCTCATCCTGGTCACCTGGCAATGGGTTTCATGGGGCCCACTCTCCGTGCCCACAAGCCTGTGTCCTGCCTGGCCAGGCAAGGAGTCCCGGGGGCAGGCAGCTGCCTCACCCCCGCATGACCCCCCAGCCCAGGGGACTCAACGGTGCTGTCATCAAAGGGGCAGCTGTAGGTCTAGGGGGGACATGGAGGGGACTAGCTCTGGGCCTCTGGCGTTGTGGGGCTGACCTATGGAGAACAGAGCTGGAGCTGGGGGGACATGAAGTCTGCATGTCTACAGCCCCAGCAAGGAGCCCAGGCTTTCTAGGCAGAAGCTGTTGGGGCATCAGGGCCCCATGGGCTCCCCAGGCCCAGCCCCTAAGAACCACGGCAGCTACACCACACCACTGTCTCCACTTCCATATCCTCCAAAGAGGTACCTCCCCCCTCCTATGGCATCTCCGATCTGAGGACCTGCCACCTCCCAGAGGACCAGAGGCCCTGATGCCCCAAGTCTTGGGCTTGGAAAGATGTTAATATCCACTGCCCCAAGTGCCAAGGTTCAGAAGCACTGGTCCAGGACACACAGCAGCAGGGAAGTGGAGCCCTCACTCCAGCCTACAGTCTGGGCTCCATCACTATGCTCCCTCTCTATCCTTCCCTCCCCACAACCAGGGCTGTGTGCCTACCTAACACACCACACACTTCCCAGAAACAGGAGTCACATCCTTTTCAGGGCTGGTAGGGTGGCTGAAGACAGCCCAAAACCTCCTGAATGGAAAAACGTTGATGGGGAGACTGAGGGCCAAGGTACAGGCCTGTCCAAGGTCACCCCCAGGGTGGCAGATCCAGGACTCCAGGCAAGATCTTCCTACTGTCCAGGCCTCTCCCCACCCTCTCTTGTGTGGCCCAGCACCCTGGACTCTTCCACGCCCAGGTGTGCTCCCCACAGGCACACTGGGGGCAGGGTAGGCAGCAGGTGCCCCCCGCCAAGATGGTGGCTCTTCCTTCGGCAGACCTTCAGCCCTCTGCTCCTGGCAGGACATTGTGGCCCTCCTGCCCACGTTGGTGCGGGTTGAATTTCACGGCCCAGCAGAATTCCCGGGCAGGGCAGCCTGGCCATCCTCCCTGGTCTCGGCTCTGAGGGCGTAGACCCAGCCTCTCAGCCTGGAGTCGTGGCGAATTCATGAACAAGCCTCCATTTCCAGAACCTTCCTGAAGAAAATAGCTCTCCAGGCTGGGGCAAGAAGCCTGTCCCTACCGTGATAGAACCACCCCTCAATAACCCCAGACACCACCTAGCACCCACTGGGGGCCACCCAGGGAGCCCACCCAGCCCACTCTGGGCTTGAACAGAGGGCAGGCCTGGAGGAAGGTACATCTAACCCCACTGACCGACATGCAGCTGGAGCCAGGGCCTGCTGCCACCGCAGAGGTGAGAAGCAGGAGCAGCAAGACCTGGTGCCCATTAGTCATGGGAGAAGAGCAAAAGGGGGCGACAGGGACAAATTCAGGCCCTGGGTGGGCTGCCTGTCAGGGGAGTGATATCCAAGGAGGAGCTGGTGGTAAGTGGGGGGTGGTGGATACCAGGTACAACTTGGTCATGCCTCAACACCAACCACCACGGGCCTACCAGCCACGTGTGCCCTCCCTGGCCCGGGAGTCCACAGGGTGCAAAAGGCTGATCGCACAGGACCTTCCGAGAGAATCCTACGCTGCAGAGCTCGTTCTATTGGTTTCCAGGCCTTTTTACACGCTGTCCTGCTGCTTGGACATGCCATTCCCCACCCCTGCACCTACCCAGCTCCTGCGGCACTCAGCTGTCACCCACTCTGGGACACACACCTGTCCAAGGATCTAGATCAAGGTGAGAGGCTGCTCCTCACTCCTTTCCGGGGCTGGACAGCGAGTTGAAGGCCCGAGCCCAGCTGCACCCAGAAAACCTGCCACTTGGAACTCACCTGACCATCTAAGCCCAGCCCCCAATGCATGCAACAGATGAGGCAGAGATTGTGCTATACAGAGATCAATATATATAAAGTGCCGGGTACAACGCTCTGAAAAATAGTTTTGTCCCAAAATCCAGCGCGTAGGATGCTCCGGGCCTAGCCCTTGCCGGTGAGGTCCAACGGTTGCAGGAATGGGGGCAGCGGCAGCTCGTCCAGGGCCTCCGGGAAGCGGCCTGGAGAGATGGCGGTGACCAGCACCTGCATGGCGCGCGCGAAAAGCGAGGGCGGCGCCAGGCCCGCCAGCCACTGGAACTTGTCCTCGCCCAGCAGCCGCTGCCAGCGCGGCCGGTCGCCCAGCAGCTCCTGGCGGGCCGAGCCGGCGGCGCCCACCGGGGTGTACAGCGCCAGGAGATCCAGGAGCAGCAGGCGGCGCTGGCGCGGCTCCCCTGGAGCTGAGGCCAGGGCTCCGGCGGCGGAGGGAGTGGCCCCGGCGTCGCGGCCCAGCTGGCGCAGCAGCAGCTCTAGAGGCGTGAGGCCGCCGCCGTCGCGCAGGCCGGGCGAGGCGCCGTGGCCCAGCAGCAGGAAGAGACACTCGGGGCGCGCTAGCTCGCAGGCCACGTGCAGCGACGTGCCACCGCCCTCCACGCGGCTGCAGCCACGCCGGTCCAGCACGCGCGCCCGCTCCTCCGCCGGGAAGTCGCGCAAGGTGCGCAGGATGCGGCGCAGAATGCCCACGCGGTTGTAGCGCACTGCCAGCGCCACGTGCGGCCCGGGAGCCGCGCAGCAGCGGAAGCCGGCGCTGGGCGGTGCTAGCGCGCGCCGCGGGAACGTGGCCAGCAGGTAATGTGCGTACGCTTGGTGGTCGTGCACGAGCGCGTAGAGCAGCGCCTCAGAAGGCGAGTAGGCGGCGGCGCGCCCCCGCTCGTCCCAGTGGAAGGCCTCACTGGCGCGCATGTCCTCCAGCAGCCACACGGGTAGCAGGTCGCGCACCGCCTGATAGAAAGCGAACGACGACTTGCGGCACTGTTTCTGCGCCCGCGAGCGCGCCGCGCCCGGGCCCTCGGGCCCGCCGTCCGCGCCACCCCCAGGCCGCCGCGCGTCCCACGGCATGCTGGCGGCAGGGCGCTCCTGGGCCTCAAGGCATGGATCCCGCGAAGGCACACCTGCGGGAAAAGGAAGGGGCCACGGTGAGGCGCGGGGAAGCTGGGGAGGCCCAGGGACTCCCCTCTGCCCCTCACACAGCCCCTCCGGTCCTGGCCCACCAGGCCCTCATACCTACCTCCAGCCTTGGCCAGGCCCTTCCAGTCACCCCACAGCTCCATCTCTCCCACGCCCAGAACCCCCGCCTCCATCCTTGATCTAGTTGTACCTGTTCTCCCTCCTTGAAACTGACTTGCTCTCTGGCACCTCTGCTGGAAATGCCCTTGCTGCCCATGCCCTCAAATCTTCCCTCCCCTCTCCAACCCAGGGACCCACTGGAAAAGCTTCTGTTCCCACCTAAGCCAGGTTCATACAACCCAAAAGAAAAGGCCAGGGAGGGGATGAGGAAGCTTGGGCCCACATCTCAAGATAAGGCAAATCCACTCTCCAGCCCAAGCGCAACTCTGACCCTGACCTCCGACCCCAGACCACTTGGAGGCCCCTGGAGCCTCTTCCAGGGCTGTTCAGAGGCATTATCTAGACTCAGACCTACCTGGTTCCTGCACCGCGATCACCTAGTTCGGGGGATGTGGGTCTATCACTGTCCCTGGCCGAGCCTCAGCTTCATCTGTAAGAAAGGGGAGGGGTGGACGACGGCTGTGCGGGCGGGGTGAGCCTGGGGCGTGGCACCAGCCCTCTATCCAAACATGTTTGCCTACACTTACAGGTTAGCACCCCTAGCTCCTGGGAGGAGACAGGAGGCTGAAAACAACTTGGAGACCGGTGTGCACCGCACCGCATAGTCTGCCATCCTCTTCAGGTCTCATACCTCTCTTGATCTCCCCAACTACTAGATGAAGCGGGTACTGCCATCCCACTTTCCAGCAGGGCAGAAGCTTCTCCAAGGTCAGCAAGCCACAGCAGAGCCAGGCCTAGAACTCAGGTCTCCTGTGTCTCAGTTTGGACTCATTCTAGAATTGGTGGGGACCCCCAACCCACAGGGAATCGAGCTTGAGCCCTGACCCTGCCTTCTGAGTCCCCAGCCCCGACCTGAGCATAGGCGTCTGACCTCTGGCTCTGTCCCAAGCTCCCTACTGCCTTCTTTCAAGGGTAAGCCCTTGGTCACAAGGGGCCTGGGACAGAAGGCAGGCCGCGTCCACACACACTGACTGGGTCACTATCACTGGCAGTAACTGAGTTAAAGAGAGCCGCACGGTGAGGGTGGGCTGCAGCCCGTGGACGACACCGTGACTGGAGCCCCTTCCCCAAGCCTGGGCCTCCGGGCCCCAGGTATGCCCTGTGCCGGCACGCGTGGGGCGCCGGGCGGGTTACGTAAAGTTCGGCCTCCCCACGTCACCGGGCAGAGTCACGGCCGCGGCTCGTGAATAGGGGGGTTGGGCCATCGAAGGCAGCGCCGCGCCCGGGGCCGCCCGCCACCTCCTCCTACCCGTCCCCTCCCGGCCGGCACGGCCAGACGTCGGGCGGTGGAGGGTCGCGGAGGCGTGCTGGGCGTCTGCGCGCAGGTGGCCGGCGCAGCGAGGGCTGCACCTGCATGCGCGTGTGCCGGGGAAGGAGGGGGCGGCCGCGGGCGCGGCGAGGGGGACGGGGACTCACCATGGGGGGCGCGGGGCCACAGGCCGGGCGTCCCCGCCCCTGCCGCGGGTCGGAGCGCGCGCTGACCCCGCGGGCGAGCGGGCGAAGGTCCCACGACGGACGCAAGGGAGGGAGCCGCCGCCGCCCGCGCCCGCCGCAGCCGCGCTCTGAGCCGCCGCGGCTGGATCGCAGGGCGGCGGTGCCGTTGCCGGCGGCTGGCGGGCGGGCGGCGGGCGGCGGGCGGCGCAGTGCGGCCCCGGCCAGGCAGGACCGCGGGACCGTCCGCCGCCGCCATTGGCCCGCGCCGCCGGCCCCCGCCACCGCCCATTGGCCGCCGCGCTGCACCATTGTTACGTCACCGGCCGGCGGGCGGAGCGCACCGCTGGACCCGCGGAAAACTTCGGAGAAACTTGAGGGAGCGCGGGCGGGGGGAACGGAGAGGAGGGGCGGGGCCGTGGCGAAAGGGGCGGGGCGGGGAGGGCGGGGGCGGGTCTCCCGGAACCCGAGCTGCGGGCGAAGAAAGGCTACGCGCTCCGAGCGGCCCCGACCGGGGATGGCGCCGCTGCTCTGTGTGCCCGGGCGCGCGCGTAGGTGGCCCGCCCTCCGCCGTGCGTGACTTTCCTTGTCACGTCCAGCTCCCCTTTTCTCTGACCTTCCGTGACCTTGGGAAAAACCTCCGGGCTGTTACCCCATCTGCAACATGGGAGGGCCCGGGGTAGGAGCCGCCACCCCCAAGGGCTCCACCGCCTTCTGCCCGGCCAGGGTCGTGCCTGGCGCGCCCCCGCTCCAGCTGACCCGCGCAAGGGAGGGAGGGGCGGACGGATGGGGACAGCTCTTTAAGAGCGCGCACTGCGCCCATCTCGGCCTCAACACTCTTGTTTCCACTTCGTTTCACGACCACCAGCCACAGTGGACACGATGATCCCCAGTTCGTCCGCCAGCAAATCAGGGCTCAAGAGAGGTGTCCTCAAAGACAGGAGCGGCCAGGAGGGAAACCGGGGGTTTGCCCTGCAGTTCTTCCCACATTTGGATGGGATAGATTGGATTGGGCCTCGGCCACCCCTACCGTCTCCGTGGGGGGTTCCAAGGTTTGGGGTCATGACCTAGGGGGCTTAGGAGCCTGGGTCCATCTTTACTAATTTATGGCCTCACTCGCCCCAGCGGCTGGGAATTCTAGGTCCATTTTACAGGTGTGGACGCAGATCTGGAGAGGGGCAATGACTGCCCAGCCCCCCATCCATCCTCCCAGACACGACCTTCCACCTGGAGTCCCCAACACATGGCCAGGCAGCTGGGGTCTCATGATGAAATCCCCACATTCCATGCAAGGGCTCTTTCTGGTTCCTTCTTCAGAATGCTGTCCCTGCCCTTCCAGTACTATCTCACCAGGGAGACCATCCACTCCGCTCCATCCAGGCAAGGCCTCTGCCTCACCCCGGTGGGAGGGGCCTGGTCCAGAGGGCACGCCCCTGCACACACACTCAGCCCTGTCCTGGCTTCTCTTTGTGCCCCAGCCAGTCAGTCTGGGTGGAAGTCCTATACCTGGGCCCTCTCAACAGACCTAGGCAGGCCCCTGTCCCCAGCCCAACGAGCTCAATCCCTTAGGCACACACACCACAGAGCAGTCGTGAGAGGCCAGGTGGGCAGTACCACGAGGCAGGCAAGGCTGTGAGGCCGAGAGGGTCAGGCCACCCCAGCACAGGTGGGCACTCACATGCACCCTGCCCAGGCTGCCATGCATGGACCCACCCGGGGGATGGCCGGACCCCACCAGCCCTACCCTCCCCACTTCAGGGCCGGGGACCTTGCAGGCCACGCTGTCTCTCCAGGGAGTCCAGGTCGTCAGCAGGAGTAGGGGTACAGAGGGCACTGGGCCTGGCATCCGCACCCGCCTTTGCCTCAGCTCCACATGTCTCCTCCTATGTCTAGGCCTGTCTCCCTAGAGCTTCTCCCATCCGCCAGTTCTGGATGCCTCTGAGTACGATGGCAGGGAGAGCAAAATGAGTGGAGGTCCTGGGGTCAATAATTGACCTTTGGGAGCCCCAGGCCCTGAGGGACATCTTGGGGAGATGGTGCCCAGGTGGGCTATCTGTGGCTCAAGACTCCCCTACTCTCTTGCCCTCTTCGAAGGCTGGAGTTAAGATACAGCCGTCTCCATGGCTACTGGTGGAACGAGGGTGAAAGGGCATCAGTGGATGCCAAGCTGTGCACCGGGCCTCAGGGCAGGTCTCTCTCCACCCCTTGATGTTTTCCCTGCCCCTGTGCCCCCACCTGCCTTCCTCACTGGGGATCCTAGAGGCCTTTTTTTTTTTTTTTCCCCAAGATAGAGTCTCACTCTGTCACCCAGACTGGAGTGCAGTGGAGCAATCTCAGCTCACTGCAACCTCCACTTCCCAGGTTCAAGCAATTCTCATGCCGCAGCCTCCCAAGTAGTTGGGATTACAGGCATGCACCATCATGCACAGCTAGTTTTTGTGTTTTTAGTAGAGACGGGGTTTTGCCATGTTGGCCAGGCTGGTCTCGATCTATTGGCCTCAAGTGATCCGCCTGCCCCAGAGACCTTTTTCTAAAAGCCAAGTCTGACCCTGTTTCTCTGCTGCCTAGAAGCTTCCTGTGGATGTGGACATAGCCACAAAGTCCGGATGGGCAGAAAGAGGCATTTCTGGCAGAGGGCAAAGCAGGGGCAAAGGTCTGGAGTGTGACCCAAAGACTGCAGAGGCCACCTGACTGGCCAGGTCCCATGGGGCCTGGAATGCCCAGCAAGGATCCTGGATTTTCCCTGGAGACCCAAGTGGAGGGTTGGGAAGTGGTTTCATTAGTGAATTATTTTAGACACACATACAGAGAGCATTAAGATGTCTGGGGGCCCAGGACCCAGTTGAAGGAGCAACACAGGGCAGATTGGAAGCCCTGCGTGCCTGTCCCTCCCTCCCCAGCCAGCCTCAGTGTGAGTCCGCGTGTCTGTCCCACTGTAAGTGCAAGTGGCAGCAGACATTGTAACACTGCCTACCACGGGGCCCCACAGCACTGCCTCACCTCAGCCACTTGCCTTTTTCTCCTCAGGTCACTTTTAGATCCAGCCCCAGGGGAACCCCCTGCTTTGGATGGCAGCCGCCATCTCTGCTGCAGTGTCTTCTGATGAAAGCTGTCCCCTGTGGGCACGAGTGTGGACATCCTGCACCTCCTAGGGCAGCAGTGCCGAGGTTGGTGGTGCCCTCCACGTGGTTTCATGGCATCGCTGCTGCAGTAGAGGCGGCCCGGGGACATGTGACCAGCTGCAAAGGGGCAGGTTCCTCAGGGAGGGAGGATGGGCTGCAGGGAGGGTGGCTGGGACAGGGGAACAGGCAGAGCATGACTTCCAAACACCTAGGAAGCCCCAGGCGGAGGGCGGAGTAGGGGGGTCTTGCCATCTTCAGATGGGAGTTGACCTTTGACCCCATCATGCTCCTGCTGGGACCTGACCCAGGCATACTCCTCTTCCTCTGGGAGGGCTTGTCGCACCAGGGCAGGGTCTGTGTGTGCCCAGGCAGGGAGCTACAGGCAGTGGGGGGAGGCTGGGGCTGCAAGCACAGAGGCCCCAGAAAGCGTGTGAGGATGCTAGGGAGCGGGAAGGGCCCTCAGAGGGGTGGTATGGCCAGCTTAGGTTTTCTTGGCAACTCTAGTTGAGAATGCACTGCAAGGAGACAGAGGCTGCAGCCACTGAAGCCAACTGTGCTGTAGCAGGCGGAGGGCACCGGGAATCCCTGGAGAGACGTGCCACCTGCTGCAGGACCCCTGGCCCATAGGTGAGGGTGTGAGCAGATGAGGAGAATCTAGGAGGCCTCCCATGTGTTAGGGGAAAGCTGAGCACCTGGAAGGTGGCGGAGCCAAGAGGTGTCCTTGGCCCTGGAGGTGGGGGGCATGGGTATAAAGAGGGTGCTTGGAGTGTGAGGCACCAGGGACAGGAGGTGAGAGGCCCAAGGCCCCAGCCGGGGCTTCCAAGAAAGGAGGTGGGTAAGGGCTGTGGGGCCAAGAAGGCACAGGGCTCCCCGAAGACAAGGTGTCCCAAAAATAAGGGAGCAGTCAGGTGGGACGGATTCGGATGTGGCAACACATAGGTCACAGTGCCCTTTACAGAATCTCATGGGTTGGGGGAGAAGCCTGTTTGGAGAGAGTTCAGGAGCAAGCGGGGAGCGGGATAGAGCCGTGAGGATGGGAGAGGAAGGGGCAGGCTTAAAGAATGAAACGGTGGGGATAACACACGTGCACATGCATGTATGTGCACTCAGACACGTGGGCAGGCCCATACATGCATCTGTGCATCATGGGCGGCGTGCTGTGTGTGCACGCGTGTGTGTGGGCAGCATGCTGCAGCCTGCATGTGTGTGTGTCCATTATGTGTGCAGTGCGCTGATGGGCAAAAACGCTGACGATGCAGGCCAGCTGATAACCTGGAGGAGGCCGGCTGGGGTGGGGCCTGCCACTCATGACGGGCACCCTGGGCTGGCAGCATGGGAAGTTCTTCTTGGGGCGGCAGCACGTTGGGCACAGACACAGAGGAGGGCGCAGGTAAAGGTGCTCGGAGACATCTGCTCTGGTGGCTTCTGTTTTCAAGGCCGTCTGCTGAGACTGGGAAGGGGTGGCAGCTGGGGAGGTGCTCGAGGAGAGGGCTTCATCTACTGCCTGCACTGAGATCCTCTCTGACCTGAGCCCCTGCTGCCCGGCCAGGCCTGCGGAGCCTGCCATCTGGGCAAGTGGGATGGGACAGATGGCTGCGGCCAGGAAGGCACCACAGGTGCAGGCAGGCAGGTTCCTCAGGGAGGGACTGGCACCAGACACGCCGGATCCCCCCTAATTAGCCACTCACCAGCGGTGGGACTGGGCTGAGCACTAGTCACTTATCTGTGATGTGAGTCAGGTGGATTTTGGGTGTCAGAAGGAAGGTGTTTCACGTGGCAAGACTGGCGGGGCCAGCATGCAGAGTGGCTAGGACCAGGTGAGAGCCTGGGGGTGTCCCACCACTTGCCCCACCTCATGCAGGTCCTGTCCTTCCACTGCCTGGCCAGACCAGACCAGACCAAAGCTCACCTGGCCTTTAAGACTGGCACCTGCACCAGGAGCCACTACCACTCCCTCCTACGGTGGCAGGCTGGGCTCTGCCCCACCACGTCTGCAGCCCCATTAGCATCTCTCAAGACTCAGCTTTGGGATGCCAGTACAGACCAAAGACAGGACAAAACCAGTGGAGACAAGGGACATCCTGGGAGCCAAAGGGTCCAGCATGCATAGCCAAGGAGTGGCGTCTCGAGTGCACAGGGAGCCCCTAACATAGTTGGAAGATCAGCCGGGAGGAAGATAGGCGAGGGCACCATAGGCTATCCACATGCTGGCCAACAGACATGTGGAGACATGTGATTCAGCTTCGCTCGGAATCAGCACGTGTACAGGCTCCTGGCGAAAACTGAGTAGCCTGGGAACAGCCTGTGCTGGCGGAGTTAGGATTCAGGCACTTGCCCCACCAGCAGGGAAAACTCGCATGCTTGTGGGCCCAGCAGATCCTTTTGTAGGCATCTTATCCCAGGTAAATACCTGCCTGTGTTCCGAGTTACATGTCCAATACAATACTCACTGCTGTGGATTTTGTTCTCTTGTCTTTTTTTTTTCTTTTTCTTTTTTTTTTTTTTTTTTTTTTTTTGAGACGGAGTCTCGCTGTGTCTCCCAGGCTGGAGTGCAGTGGCGTGATCTCGGCTCACTGCAAGCTCCGCCTCCCGGGTTCACGCCATTCTCCTGCCTCAGCCTCCCGAGTAGCTGGGACTACAGGCGCCCGCCCCTGCGCCTGGCTAATTTTTTCTATTTTTAGTAGAGACGGGGTTTCACCATGTTAGCCAGGATAGTCTCGATCTCCTGACCTCGTGATCCACCCGCCTCGGCCTCCCAAAGTGCTGGGATTACAGGCTTGAGCCACCGCGCCCGGCCTTTTCTTTTTTTTTTTTAAAGACAAGGTCTTGCTCTGTTGCCCAGGCTGGAGTGCAGTGGTGCAATCATAGCTTACTGCAGCCTCAATCTCCTGGGCTCAAGTAATCCTCTCACCTCAGCCTCCTGGGTAGCTGGGACTATAGGCACAGGCCACCACACACAAAAAATAAATTTTTTTATTTTTATTTTTGTAGACATGACACCAGGTCTTGCTATGTTGCCCAGGCTGGTCTTGAACTCCTGAGCTCAAGCGATCCTCCTGCCTCAGTCTCCCAAAGTGTTGGGATTACAGGCATGAGCTACCTCGACTGCCCTAATTCTTTAATGTTTCATAAAATAATTCAGCAGCCGGGTGCAGTGACTCGCACCTGGAATCCCAGCACTTCAGGAGGCCGAGACAGGCAGGTCACCTGAGGTCAGGAGTTCGAGACCAACCTGGCCAACATGGTGAAACCCCATCTCTACTAAAAATACAAAAAAAATTAGCTAGGCATGGTGGTGGGCGCCTGTAATCCCAGCTACTTGGGAGGCTGAAGCAGGAGAATCACTTGTACCCAGGAGGCAGAGGTTGCAGTGAGCCGAGACGGCACCACTGCACTCCAGCCTGGGTGACAGAACGAGACTCCGTCTCAAAAAAAAAAAAAAACAGAATTTAGCTGAATTTTATATTTCATCTCTAACTATGTCATTATTAAAGCTTTGAAGAGAATACAAGTGCATACCCAGTACTAGGGAGGTAGAGTCACTACTGCATCTTTAATAAGGAAAAACTGGAAGCTACCTAGGTTACCATCAGAAGGGGTATGGCTGACATGGTCATGGAGAAGCCTGCTGTGACTTTGCTGCGGGCTCCTGCTCTCCTGCTGGGCCTGCTGAGAGTACTGGGTGTGAGCCTGGAGCCTAAGGGCCGAGTCCCTCCTGGGCAGAGATGTGAGACAGTCTACATGGCCTCACTGTCTCTGAGTCCTTGTAGGATCACGGCATCCAGCCATGCCTGAGCACTAGGGCTTTCCATTAAATAAGTGAGTAAAATGGAGCTGGGCGCAGTGGCTCACACCTGTAATCTCAGCACTTTGGGAGGCCAAGGCGGGTGGATCACAAGGTCAGGAGTTCAAGACCAGCCTGGCCATCGTGGTGAAACCCTGTCTCTACTAAAAATACAAAAATTAGCTGGGCTTGGTGGTGCATGCCTATAGTCCCAGCTACTCGGGCTTAGGCCCATTGGATATGGATCTGTCATTTGAAAAAGTCCTGACTAAGAGACCTCCCCGGGATAGTCTCTGTCATCCAGGTACAATTATAATACCATTCCTTTTCACATTCCCCAGGTCCTGATTTGGAAAGTCAGTCACATGGATGGCTACCATGTGCCTAAAGCACTTGCAGCCTCAGGTAAGAAAGAAAAGTCTAGGTTTCCTCATCTGCAAGGAGAGATGACAGTGATGTCTACCGAGTCCTTGAAGCCACACTTGGCACAAAGCTTGAACCAATAACATAGCTGCTAGGATTTGTTTTTTTGTTTTTTTGGGGTTTTTTTTGGATGGAATTTCACTCTTGTTGCCCAGGCTGGAGTGCAATGGCGCCATCTCGGCTCACTGCAACCTCTGCCTCCCGGGTTCAAGCGATTCTCCTGCCTCAGCCTTCTGAGCAGCTGGTATTACAGGCATGTGCCACCATGCCCAGCTAATTTGTATTTTTTGTAGAAACCAGCTTTCTCCATGTTGGTCAGGCTGGTCTCAAACTCCCGACCTCAGGTGATCCACCTGCCTCAGCCTCCCAAAGTGCTGGGATTACAGGCGTGAGCCACCATGCCCGGCCGCTGCTAGGATTTTTAAAAATATTTCAACATAGGCCAGGCATGGTGGCTCACACCTGTAACCTCAGCTACTCAGGAGGGTGAGGCAGGAGGATCACTTGAGCTAAGGAGTTTGACACCAGCCTCGGCAACAGAGTGAGACCCTGATTCTAAAAAAAGAAAAAAAGAAAGTGGCACATGTTCAAATAGTATTTGTGTAATTAAGGTAAAACTTTTTGTTTGTTTTTTTCTTTTTCAGAGAAAGGCAGATGGCGGAGTGTCTCAATTTGAATTTCAACTCTGAATTTGAACTCTGGGGCTCAAGAGATCCTCACACAGGGATCCTCTAGCCTCAGCCTCCTTTGGTTTCATGGAGTTTGTAGTAACCCCATTGGGGTTCTGTACTTGATGAAAGCTGTAGTTCCTCCTCCCACTCACAATATGGGGGGACTCAGCTCAGCCACCCCTGGTCAGACAGTTGACTTGTCAGCCAACACAACTGAGCAGACTCACTGATTAATGTATTCAACAAACAGGCTCTCGGAGCTGTTCTGCAGTCCAGAGCTGAGTAGGCAGAGAAGGCTTCCTGGAGGAGGCTACTTGAGATAAGGAATCGCCTGCATCCCCCATCATTGGTCAAGCCCCGTGGGATCTGTGCAGAAATGCCCTGACCCCCTTGTCACTGCTCCATCACACCTCTCAGGCCCAGCTGCAGCTCCCTGTAGCCTGAGGGACCCTCCCCAAACCAAAGTCACACCTACCTGGCCCCTCTTTCCTTACAGTTCCCCGCCCGGGCTGCCCATGCCAGACTAAAGCCCTCCTCTCCTGGGCTGCCCATGCCAGACTAAAACCACTCCCCTGGGCCGGGCGCGGTGGCTCATGACTGTAATCCCAGCACTTCCGGAGGCCCAGGTGGGTGGATCACTTGAGGTCAGGAGTTCAAGATCAGTCTGGCTGACCTGATGAAACCCCATGATGACAAAAAATACACAAATTAGCAGGGCATGGTGGTACGCGCCTGTAGTCTCAGCTACTCGGGAGGCTGAGGCAGGAGAATCACTTGAACCCGGGAGGGGGAGGTTGCCGTGAGCCAAGATTGCACCTGAAGGGGTGGCCTGCCCCTCCACACCTGTGGGTGTTTCTCGTTAGGTGGAACGAGAGACTTGAGAAAAGAAATAAGACACAGAGACAAAGTATAGAGAAAGAAAAGCGGGGGCCCAGGGGACCGGCGCTCAGCTTACAGAGGACCCACGCCGGCACCGGCCTCTGAGTTCCCTTAGTATTTATAGATAATTATCTTTACCATCTTAAGGATAAGGGAGTGGCAGGACAATAGGATCATTTTTAGGGAGGAAATTAGCAGTAAGACATAAGAACAAGGATCTGTGACATGAATAAGTTTAAAGGAAAATCCTGTGCCTTGAGATAAACCTTTTAGCAACATTGTTTCATCCTATCACATGGGGATAAACCTTGGACAATACCTAGCTTTTCTAGGAACAAAGTCACACCCTGCACGCCCAAAATCCATTAAACCTTGAGTTACCACATGTCTCTTGCAAGGACAAGGTTGGGGGTAGGGTCACAGATTAACAGCATCTCAAATACAGAACAAAATGGAGTCTCTTATGTCTACTTCTTTCTATATAGACACAGTAACAGGCTGATCTCTTTCTTTTCCCCACATTTCCCCCTTTTCTTTTCAACCAAACCACCATTGTCATCATGACACCGAGATTACATACTTCACAAAGTAACAGAATATCACAAAGCAAGTGGAGGCAGGATGAGATCACAGGATGGTGTTAAAATTAAAATTTTTGGGCATGCATAGTCATGGATAACATCTTATCAGAAAACAGGGTTTGAGAGCAGACAACCTGCCTGACCAAAATTTATTAGGTGGGAATTTCCTCGTCCTAATAAGCCTGGGAGCGCTACAGGAGGCCGGGGCTTATTTCATCCCTTCGGCTTCAACCGTAAAAGGCGGCACGCCTCCAAGGGGGTCGTTTATAGGCCTACCCTCAGAGCGCATTCTCTTTCTCAGGGGTGTTCCTTGCTGAGAAAAAGAATTCAGCGATATTTCTCCTATTTGCATAATGAAAAGAGAAGAAATATGGCTCTGTTCCGTCCGGCTCACCGGCGGCCAGTTCAAGGTTGCCTCCCTTGTTCCCTGAACATTGCTGTTATCTTATTCTTTTTCCAAGATGCCCAGATTTCATATTATTGAAACACACATGCTCCACAAACAATTTGTGCAGTTAAGGCAATCATCACAGGGTCCTGAGGTGACATATATCCTCCTCAGTTTACAAAGAAGATGATAGAATTAAAAGATTAAAGTAAAGACAGACATAAGAAATTACAAAAGTATTAATTTTGGAGAACTAATAAATGTCCATGAAATCTTCACATTTTATGTTTTTCTGCCGTGGCTTCAGCCAGTCCCTGTGTTCAAGGTCCCTGACTTCCCGCAACGTTCTCCCTCCCTTTTCCTCTATATAAATGTGCCATGGTGATGAAGGCTTGTTCGTTAGTCAATGGTGCTCGATTGTTCGTTAGTCAATGGTGCTCCTCTCCGTGGAGGCGCTTTTCTTTGCATCTCTGATGGGTTCATTGTAGAACTTCAAATGTTTAGTGGGTATCCAAACAGGAAGCTGATTTTCTCCTGGTGAAACACAAGCAAAACCTCTTCCCCAGGTTATCACCTTCCCTATTTCCCATGTCTTATTTTTGTTGTCTTTCCACCAAATCAGTTTTCCTTCATGTGGACTGTTCTTTTTACCAGTAAGATGTTGTTCTGCAGAAGTAGTAGTCTGATTTCTATAAATGTTTAAAAAATTTAAAGTATAGAGTGCTAGATTAAGCTGCATCTGAGGAGTGGTATACTCCTTACTGTCTCCCCCTTTGTTTTGTTTAACTAACTGAGTTTTGAGTGTTCTATTAGTTCTTTCAACTATGGCCTGTCCTTGGGAATTATAAGGAATTCCTGTTGTATGTGTAATATTCCACTGATTTAAGAATTTTTGGAAAGCTTTACTACAATAACCTGGTCCATTGTCAGTTTTAATTTTTTCTGGAACTCCCATTACAGCAAAACAAGATAATAAATGTTTTTTAACATGGGAAGTACTTTCTCCTGTCTGGCATGTTGCCCATATGAAATGTGAATAAGTATCAACTGTTACATGAACATATGATAATTTTCCAAATGAAGGTACATGGGTAACATCCATTTGCCATAATGCATTAGGACACAGACCTCTGGGATTCACTCCTGCCTCTTGAGTGGGCAGGTGTAGTACTTGACACTGGGTGCAATGTCGCACAATATCTTTTGCCTGTTTCCATGTGACATCAAATTTGTTTTTTAACCCTGCTGCATTTACATGAGTCAAAGCATGAAGTTCTTGTGCTTTTATGAATGCAGAGGATACCAGTAAGTCAGCTTGTTCATTTGCTATAGTTAAAGGTCCTGGCAAATTAGTGTGTGCTCGAATATGAGTAATATAAAATGGGAAATTCCTTTTTCTTACAGTTTGTTGTAATAAATTAAACAACTGGTTTAACTGATCATCCATGCTATATTTAATTAGAGCTGTCTCAACATCCCTTGTAGCCTGTACTACATATGCAGAATCTGATATAATATTAACAGGTTGATTAAAATCTTGTAACACTGTAATGACTGCAACCAACTCTGCTCTTTGAGCTGATTGATACTGAGTTTTGATTACTCGCTCTTTTGGTCCTGTGTAAGCCGCTTTTCCATTGCTGGAACCATCAGTAAATACTGTCAGAGCATTTTCTAAAGGCTCATGTCTGGTAATTTTAGGTAAAATCCAAGTAGTCAATTTTAAAAACTGGAAGATTTTTGTTTTTGGGTAATGATTATCAATAACTCCCACAAAATTAGCAAGGCCAATCTGCCATGCACCAGAATTGATAAAGGCTTGCCTAACTTGTTCCTTGGTTAAAGGAACAACTATTTTGTCTGGGTCATTACCACACAATTTTATTATCCGTAATCTTGCCTGACCAATTAATGTAGCTATTTGATCCAAGTAAAATGTAAAAGTCTTAATTGTACTGTGAGAAAGAAATGACCACTCCACAAGATCAGTGTTTTGAATAATGATGCCTGTTGGAGAATGTGTAGTAGCAAAAATCAAAAGTTGGAGTGGGGCTAAAGGATCTATCCTATTTATTTGCGCTGACTGAATTTTTTCTTCCACTAATTTAATTTCTTTTGTTGCCTCTGGGGTTAATATTCTTTTACTATTTAAGTCTGGATCTCCTCTTAGGATAGAGAACAAATTTGACATGGCATAAGTAGGAATGCCTAGAGTTGGCCGAATCCAATTAATATCGCCTAACAATTTTTGAAAGTCATTTAAAGTTTTTTAAAGTATCTTTTCTTATTTCTATTTTTTGTGGCTTAATTTTTCTACTTTCTATCTGCATCCCTAAATAATGAAAAGGAGCAGAGGTTTGGATCTTATCCGATGCTATTGTTAGTCCTGCGTTGGCAACCTCTGCTTGCAGAAATGTGTAACAGTCAATTAATTTTCTCTTGTTTCTGCAGCACATAAAATATCATCAATATAGTGAATGATATAACAATCGGAAAATTTGTCTCTAACTGGTTGAAGGACTTGACCTACGAAAGTTTGACAAATAGTTGGACTATTAAGCATTCCCTGAGGTAGTACTTTCCACTGGAACCTGGTGCTGGTTCTTTATTATTTATGGCTGGTATAGTAAAGGCAAATTTTTCACAATCTTGCTCTGCCAGAGGAATGGTAAAAAAGCAATCCTTAAGATCAATTATAATTAAAGGCCAGTCTTTTGGGATCATGGTCGGAGAGGGCATTCCGGGTTGAAGAGGCCCCATGGATTGAATTACAGCATTTACGGCTCTTAAGTCCATTAACATACGCCATTTGCCTGATTTTTTCTGTATTACAAATACAGGAGAATTCCAGGGTGAGAATGAAGGCTCAATGTGTCCTTTTTTTAATTGTTCCTTTGCTAATGAATGTAAAGCCTCCAGTTTTTGCTTCGGTAGCGGCCACTGATTTACCCATACCGGTTTTTCTGTTTTCCAAGTTAATGGAATGGGTTTAGGAGGCGCTACAGTGGCCGCCCCTAAAAAGGATACCCTATTCCTTTTCTTTCTTGATTTTTCTTAGTCTCAATTGGGACTTTAATGCCATTTTCATTTTTTCCTAACCCCTTTCCTGGTATATATCCCATCTTAGTCATGATTTTTTGACTTGTGGGGCTGTATAATGGAGCGGGCATAATGATTTCCGCACCCCATTGCTGTAATAAATCTCGACCCCATAGATTAACAGGAATTGAAGTAATCATTGGCTGAACAGTACTTTCTTGATTATCTGGTCCTAAGCAATGTAAAATCATTGTACTTTCGTACACTTCTGAAGCTGTGCCTACGCCGACAAGTCTTGTAACAGCCTTTTGTTTAGGCCAATTTTTTGGCCATTGATTTA